TATTCCTTTTTATGTATGTATTTAGCCATTAAACATTTCCCCCACTACTAGTAAATTCATCAGGAGAATGTACTTGACATTTTTATTAAAATCAAAGTAGATTTGATTGATGGCCTTTGTTAAAGGCCACACTAAATAGTACAACCATCCGTTCATTTTATCACTGCTTCATCCAATTCAGGGTTGCAGGGGATTTGGAGCTAGAGGTCTGCTACACAACCCGAGCCAAACGGGGCCCGGTTTTTTCCACATACAACTTCGGGCTTGGGCCAGGTTCGGGTTTATTTTCTAATAAGTGAAAATGAATTATTATTTTATGTTTTAAATTTATTTTGTATCAGAAGAAATTCGTAACTCATTTTATGCACTCGTTTGCTTGCATTGTAAAACCGCGTCTTTGAGAATCCGTCTCCATGTGTGCCTTTGTGTCTACTCGCTCTGAGAGGAAAAGTACCAAAATGTACTGCCATATTTGTAACCCAAAACCGACCGATTTTGGGTTTGGGTCGGTTTCGGGTTACAAATATGACAGTACCATTTGGGCTCAGTCAGGTCAGGTCTCAGGTACAGGCCGGGTTTGGGCTTCAATTTCATGCCTGTGCAGACCTCTAGTTGGAGCCTATTCCAGCAAGCAATGGACACTAGGTAAAATATGTGTTGGACAATTTTCCCAGAAGCCAATTAACGTACCAGTATGAGCACCCGGTGGAAACCCACACAAAAAGATAATAAAAACTCCACACAGATAGCACCCCAATCTGGAATTGGACCCAGGGCCTCAGTGCCGTGAGGCAGCAATGCTAACTATTGTACCACTAAGCCACCCCACAAAGTACAACCTTTATTGTATATTTTCCTGTATTAATGCATTAAATTCTATGATACCACCAAAATATTTAAATCAGATTAACTTGTCATAACTGGTTTTATTTGGAGGGGCAGGCAGTCTAGGGAGTAGGCTGACAACTGTATAGCACCCCAAAGGTAATGGAGGCCTTGCAGTACTAAAGTCAAAATATTTTTTATTTTACTTAAGGTAAGGCTCTATGGGACTTTGGATCTTGCAGCTTCAGTTAATTAAACCAATGAGACTATAGGTTCTTCTGTTTTGTTCTTCTGCTGTCTGTTTTCGATTAGGCCTTATAGCAAACAAATTGAACATCTGAAAAACGTTAATCGTTTTCTTTACACTTCATGCAATAGAATTTCATAATCTCACTCCACACCAACTGTTTTCTTACTTATTCATTCTCAGCCTTTAATTTAAACTTTTTTGTAACTTTGTAAATGCATGTCTTTTACCGGTAGGTTTTACTGAAGCCAGAACATCTATCTTGTGTGGAGACTATATCCATTTATTCATTTGTAGATTTTCTAGTTATTGATCGGCGTAAAGCTAAATTGCAGGGACTTTTTTTTTTCCAATTTACACAAAATATGTTCCAGATAAGCTCCTTCCATTAATCTATAATCTTTTCTCTTAATGTTTTGATCTGTTGGTTTATATAGTATATAACAATTTTTAAAAAATCATTCATAAAACATGTTGCAGGATTAAAACAGCATTTCTTAACTGTGCAACATTATTTGTTCCCAGCCATGTTAACCATATTATAATAACACAAAATACAAAAGAACTCCACTAATTTTAATGATTGGATTACAAATAAAAGTCAGTGTACTTACAATAAACTTTCACAAGTCAGTAATAACAATATGAATAAAATATATTTGAAGATAATTGTACAGTGATTAGGGAGTTTTTCATTTCACTATCAAATGACAAAGGACACCTTACCAAGTATAACGCAGACCTCCCAGGCTCCTAATATTATTCCATTTACCTTAACCACAGTGAGCATTCTTTTTCTATATGAATTAATGCTAATGTCTGGAGATGCAAAGTGGATCCACATCAGAGAGTAAGCTTCAAAGGAATGAGTAAAGATTAATTCCACAATGAAAAGTAGAAAGAAAAAAATCATCAACGAGGAAACCAGATGAAGGCAAACCTATTACATTATGCTTTTATCCTTTCCTTCTGCTTTTCAGTGTGAAATTAATCTCCACTTCTTCCAGTGGAATGTCTCACATATTTCTTTTAAATATTATATAAAAGTGAAAACATTACAGTTTTCATTACATACAGGAGAGTACCCAGTCTTGGCACACTCTTACTCAAACACTGTCACACTTTTTGTTGAGTGTAAGTAGACAGCGCCATGCTATACAAACTAAAATACATCTCATTCAACAGCAAAGGGTCATCTGTCTCCACATTCACGTTTTGAATGTATTGTCCAGATGAGCAAGTGCCTTAGAAGTCTGCCAATTAGCCCAACCCTATCTTGCTAAGTAAGGGCAATATTGCTTCAGGTTGATTGGAAATGTTCCAAGACATCATATTTGTTTCCTACCTTTCCCTTTTGGTATCATGCTCATTTATTTTAATTCCATGATGAAATATAATTGCCACAGAAACCACGATAAAACTGATTGTACAGTACTATTAGGGCCAAGTCCAACAGTATTCATGAGGAATATTTTTACTTTTTTATCATGATGGATTTGCTATGTTGGTAAAACAACTTAACCATCATGGCACTCAAAAAGGGTACCTTCAAATGTCTGTTAAGTTACGCCAAGAGTTTAATAAAAACACGTCTTTGGCTATAGGTCAGACTCCCTGAATTTTATAATTTTAGCCAAAACACCTTTGATTATTTTGATTCTAGAGCCATTCTCATTGGCAGTTCCCTTCTCATTCTGTGTGCTCAGCATTGTTCTGAGGACATAGAACACTATACAATGCAATTTGCAAAATTAAATCAAATACAACAATTCACACCCTTTTTATATAAGCAAGATACAAGGAACCCTTCTGTTCTATGTTCAACTTAGCCCTTACCATATTTAACATAAGAAATTCGCAATTACATTATAAAGCTTTTATATAATGAAGTATATACAGGTATATTTATTTAACTTGCTTTTAAAAATACATAGCACAAATTAACCTCACAATTTATTTTCTTCTGTCATTTTGAAAAAAAAGTAATTGGAATTTTGCCCATTAACTAAAAAACAACATTCCAAGGTCTAAGAATTTGACTGAAAAAAATATTTTAATCCTTTCAGTCTTTGAAGACAATCATAAGTAAACCTGAAATATGTTCTGAACCCAAAAACACTATTACACAGAAACATGCAGGCACACAAGCGAAAGCCTCTTTAGGGTTTTGCATTCAATTAGAATAAAACAATGAAAGTTTGGGTGTGAAAAATGTATAGGGAAAGTCTATAAAACATGTATACTGTCAAGTAGCCGTAAACATGCCAAAAAAAAAACAGGAATAGAGCTTGTTTCACTATGCTTAAAAGAAATGAATACTTAACTTTATGTACATACTGTATATGTCATTGCCCTTTATGCATTTAACATTTAAATCTAATTCCAAACTTTTTCTACATAGGACTATTATTTACTTGTTTCCAATGAAAATAGGTACCAAACTGACCAACCAACATGCCATGTGATTCTAAGTGATCTTTACTATTACTAAAATGAACCATCCTTGTAGTGTTGTCAAGGAATATGTAATGAGAATACAATAATCCTATCTCCTTGCACAGCCACTTCAAAATTCATTAGACTTCTATATTAAACTGGTATACTGTTGAATTTGTTGATATCATCACATTCTATTATTGCTCAAAACCAGAAGGTGATTCAGATTCAGAAAGAACTCAACTCAATAAACATTCATCACTTAAGCATTCACAGACATGTCCGATTTTGATGCTTCTTCAAATATGTTATACAGTATCTTAATGTCTCATTAATGTGTGCCTTTTTGTAAAATCAGATGCATTGGTACTGTAACAGCAGTCATTACAAATACTGGTTGAAACATCAGTGATGTTTCTCCACCATGAACAATAACTGAGATAAGAGACCCAAAATGTGATCTTTCAGATATCTCATGAGGTCATTTGGCACCTGTTTCAAAATCAGAAGCATGCCAGTGAAAATGTTAAAAAGACTTGTCATGAGTCTTGAATCTTATTACAGTACATACTTTACAGTATGAGAGAGAGAACATGAAAATACACTGTTCCACTAATTAAATGATGATATTTGTAGCAGTGACCACAAAGTAACCACAAAACAAAAATCCTTTATATTTTGACATAACACCAATAATTTTTACATTCATTTTTAAGAATTTATACGTCTTATAAGAAGGTCTTTTTGCATGTCCTGAGATTTTATTTACATGTGGTGTATCTTAAAACCATTAATCGTCAGATACATGTGCTATAGTCAAACACCGTTTTTTGAGCAAGGAACGTGTACTTCAACCAAGATAAGTTTAATCAACGAACTGTTTCTGTTAGTTGTCTGCTATACTAATATGTAAATATTTTTAATCCGTCACAGGAGACCACTTTGCAACCTCCAGATTAACTGCACCAAGTATATTTCATTGATGCACTAAAAGCTTGTGGTCGACTAAATTGGACAGGTCTTGTTTTGCTGACACCATAAATTCTCATTTGTTCCTGTGTTAATCTGGAAAGTCTGTGATAATGTGTAAAATACAGTGTTAATGTTCAAGTATATTTAAAAAAGATACTGAACTATATATTGTGTAGATGTGGTTGTTGTACAACATGTACTTTTTTAACTACTAGCAATACTACTGCCATTACGCATGCCAATACTTTTTGGAGTTCCTGGATATAAATGTTTTTCTAAAGATTTAAACGTTGTTATTTGGTCATAATAAGTTTCAGTCCTCCCTTGTAAAATAAATGTCATTTTTTCCCCAAGACCTATAAATTAGGGTTGCGTAAACGAGCAATAATAGTTAACTCTGAAAAAAATGCATTGCTTTTAAACATGCACAATATCTCAGAAAAAGTGACATTGATTACTTAAAATTACATCATTTATGTTTCATTCTTACATAAAAAACATGTAAATGTAAGCATCGTACCTGCGCTCTACTTTGTCTTCAAGCAGTTAAGGTGTCTCCCTCCCTGCAAGCGACTTGGAAATAAAGAGATTTGTAGACGCATGTGTTCATGCTCCACCTAGTCTCCCTGCAAATAGTGCAGAGGGCGCTCCAAAACGGTTTGAATATACTGTAAGGTGTTACTTTTATACGGTGGGGGAAAATGCAGCTCAGCTTCAAAGACTTTTTTTTAGAACATACAGCAAAACAATAAAATGCTCTTCCTTTTTAATTCTTCTCTTAATGCGTCTTTAGATAATTTTCACGGGAGATGATCTGTCTAAACCTTCTTGTGTGTCAACAAACTCCAAGCAGTCCCGGGAATCCGCAAACCTACAATTAGCGGTGCAAGTTCTCCAGGCAGGGAGTGGTCAGATGCAAACTAGACAGAGAAGAGCCAACACTAAGAATCAGGGGTCATTTTCTCACCCGCTGTTGAATTGTTTTGCTTTCTCTGACGTCAAGAATGAAACAATTCAAAATAAGCCTTTTTGTCAGTTTACTAAATACAATCTTAAATTCAATTCTCTAAAACCTCATAGGCTTTACAAATTCAAAGATTGTTTCTAGAGAATTTGAACCCATGTCATATATTATTAATCGAAATCCTGCATCTAACGTGTGGCATCTTAAAAGCGGCAATTTACCGCTATATTTCTTAAACTAAGAAATGAGCAAATGTGGTAATAAAGATAATTATTGTAATAATTGGAAAATAATTTTCTGAAAAAATAACTGGTTTCCCAGTTGTTAAAAGGGGCCCCCTTGTGGAAACATTTAAATGGAAATAACTGTCCGATACAAATAGCAGAAAATTATATGAACATGCATGTGATTTATGGATGCGGCAAGGGCGCCCGCCTGAGCCCCCGTTGCGTTACAGTATATACAGTACAGATTCGGATTGATTTTAGTCTACTTGCGTGTTACTGAACCATTTCTTCTTTGCTTTAAGACAGTCATTTCAGGTATTTGTGATCCGATGGCAATAGTCTTAATATGAAACGTTTTTAAACTGCAGAATTCTTAAAAGTAAACTGCAAACTGCCTCAAGAAGCCCAGTGATCTAATTTTAAAATGCATACTTTCACAGCGCTAAAAATAAAATGCACTTACACATTAACACTCACACCCCTAATTGGATACCAATGAAAATAGCTACCATACATGTCATATAAAGAAAATCTGGTAAAAAAAAAATGTTCAGCCTTATATTGCTTTATAAATATACAGCAACTCAACAGGATTTCCTATAGCTGAAAATGAACTTAATAAACACCTGCATTATAATTGATGTTATCCAATTATTCATGATAGTTTTGTTTTGTAAAACAGGCGCCTCCTGTTCTCAGTTTCAAATGCTATTTCTATGTAGGTTCCACAGATCATTCTCAAGAATCCCGTTGGACTGACTTTGAGGAATTTGCGGATTTGAAGTACTGTAGGCTTCCTCATGGCTATTGAGCTACTTCAAACTTAAAGGGCTTAGTTCTTTTAACCTGACAGTGTAGGACATTCCTTTTTGTCACGCGAAGTATCTGGGTGCTTTTCTCTGAACTGATTGAAATAAACTGATATTAAGCAGAAACATCATTTTTTGTAATATTGTCACCAAAATAGTACAATATATTTTAAATGAATATTGAATGATTTTTACTAGTGCATTTTACAGTTTTAATATAAATATCTATTGATTTAACTTGTATACATTTAACTATCTTGCATTCAATTTGCCCTTTTTTATTACCTAGGAGCACACCTGTTTTTTTTTCTGTATCAACTTTAAACTTAATATTTCCTGTCTTTTAAGCATTGTTTTTGTTTGTTGCATGAAATACTCTGCATGTGTATAATGCACTTACCATATTAAAAGCTTAACAGGTGTTTTGAATTACCTGTATCAGAGTAGATTATTTATATAAAATAAGGAGAGCAGTGGTTTTAAAGATCCATGTTACAAGTTGAGCATTATCTGATTATCTGTACTTTCAATCCAAAGATACACATTACATTCAATGCCTATTGCTTGTGTTATGAGAGCTGCTATCCCCCAGGATCCAAGTCCCGTATACTTCATCCTCTATTTAAGTTTTGCTTATCACATCCATACTCTCACACTCACAACAGAAGTGAGACTTATTCTATAATTGCCTGGTTTAGTTTTGGCAACCTTTGGTGGATGAGAAGTGTGTTAGCAAATTCTAATGATTGAGTATGACCCCTGTCTTGATTGAATATTGGAAAATGTTTGGTTAATGACCTATGAATATCATCTCTTGTTTCCTTAACTAGAATTGATAGGATACACTCAAACCCTTGGAGATCTGTTTATGTTAAATGCCTCTAATACTTGTAAAAATTCTGCTTCTTCTATGACAGTACTATTATTTAGAGCTTTATCCTTTCTCAGCCTGGAACATTATTATTTTTATCTTGTAAACACTTGAGTGAAATGCATTAGCCATTTCCCTTTCATGATTGAGATGTTTCCCATTATTATCCTGGATACATTTTACTTCATCCTTTATTGTTGTTTTTCTGTTGAGTTAATGCTGAAAAAATATTTTATTTGAGCTTTTATTTTATTATTACTGCACGGTGTCATGACACAGTGGTTAGCAATGCTGTCTCACAGCACTAAGACCCTGTTTTCAATTCAAGACATGTCATGTTATCTGCATGGAGTTGGTATGTTCTCTACGTGTTTGTGTGGGTTACCTCTGGGAAATTGTGTTTTCCTTCCATAGTCTAAAAACATACCAGTAGGTCAATTGGCTTCTGGGAAAATTGGCCCTGATGTGAGTTTGTGTCTCCCTTGCGATGGACTAGCATCCCATTCAGGGTGTACCCTGCCCTCCATCCATTGCTTGCACAGATTGGCTCCAGCTCCCCTACTTTCCTGAATTGGAAGAAGCGATTAAAAAATGGATGGAATTAGTATTACTTTCTATCTCCATCTTGGGCTTTCTCATATTCTTGTTAGTGGTGGAATTCATTTGCCATTTATTATTTTAATTTCTTAAACTGCATCCTGACTTTTAAAAAATAATTTTATAAAGTACTTTCACCTTGTTTATTTTTTACTTAATTGACTCGGAACCATTGGGGCCTCTGTTTGTTAACCCTGAGTTCCGTCATGTAATATTTATGTTAATGTGAATAAATACATTGAAAAAAAGTAAAGCACAAAAGGCAAAGTTTCTGACAGGTTCACCTCTATCTTTGTTAAGATAGAAATTGTTAATTTGTATGAAGTCAATTCTGCTTTTCATTACATTGATAAAGACACTTCCTTATTAAAGAAAACTAATCCTTGATACAAGTTATTAAATTACTATAACATTGGTACTGTAGATGTCAAGGACATGAGGCCAAATTTGGCTACCTTGCTGTTTTTCACATTTGGCTAACAAATTATTGTAATAATGGTATTTGTTTAAAACGTCAAAGATTTTATTTTTATAAATCTTGGACATAGTTGAGTAAGGATGAGGCTAAAACAACCTGAGGCTGCTCATTGAAGATGTGCCATGTTTATTAAACAAATAAGTCTAAGTCTGTTTTGGCAACAAAATATTTTTCAAAAACTCTAGTTTTATCAGGCTCCTAAGTGTAGGGGTATTAACCTAGGTGTTCTGGCTAAATTCCACTTTGGGCTTACTCAATTTAGTTTACCTAAATTTTAGCCTTAATTCAATTATCAAAGTAATTTTTTGCTTCTCTAACTCGTCTGTGTGTGTAGGGGTCATCTGGTACCAAATAGCTTCCATGTGTCACCAGGTGGGTGCTATATTTCAATACAGAATCAAGTGTGTTAATTCCAATATATAAAGTCCTCTGGGATGAATACCATTACATAAATGAAAGGAATTTTGTTGAGCTTTAAATTTCAGCACAATTCATTTATTCTTTTATTTTTTATAGGATAAAGAGATTTAACTACCATTACAATATAGATTTTCAGAAAATTCAATTGATCCCTGTAATATATAATAAATATTAGTTGGATATTAGACTCATGTGCTACACACAAAAGACCTTTATGCAAAAGCATTTTAAGTGGAAAAAAAATAACTTTATAAAAGAGATTCTGACATTAGCTATTGTCTATAATGCATAAAGCACAAAAACACCATGGATTACATTATTTGAAATTGTATGGTGTATAGCATGTGATTATGCTAAGATTGTAAACCAAATCAGGGCTCCTTTTTCTTAACAAAACTACTATTTGTTTACCAATATACAGTATAATGTGTCCTACAAAACAATTCAAACTTTTTCTACGATGGCTTGTTTGGTGAAAGTACTGTAGATTATATTACATACACATTTCTTTAACTTTATATTTCATTAGAAACCTGAATTCTTAAACTGAAGTTTTCTAAGGGTAAGAAGTTACTGTAAATATCATCAAAAATAATGAGAACAAACTGATAAATGTTAATTTCATAAGTATTCAGAACTGTAAACTTAATATTTAGTGAAAGCGTGCTTGGCAGCAATTACGTCCATAAGTCATTGGAGATAAGTTTCTACCAACTTCGCAAACTGACTGTGTATTTCTGCTCTTTCTTCTTGGCAGATTTACTAAAACTCTCACAAATTCCTCAGGGATCATTTGCAGACATCAGTTTTCAAGTTTGTCCACAGATTCTTAATAGGTTTCAAGTCAAGACTGATGGCTCCAGTCAAGGACATTCACTTTCTTTATTTCACATTTATTGCATGAAGCAGCCACCACCATATGTGACTGTAGGGATAGTTTTGACTGGGAGATGTAGTATGTTGGGTCAGTACCAAATATAACACTTTCAAACTACTAAACCTCCAGTTTGGTCTCATCTGACCACAACACTCTTTTGCACATTTTTGAAGGATCATTTAGATGCTTTGTAACAAATTTCTGACAAACAATCTTTTCCATTTCACAATATACAGTAGGCCATCTTTATAGATTGACTGGGATATTGTTGTGATTCATATTTTCTCCAAAATCAGTCAT